TCATGGATTATTAAGGGAAACAATGCAGAAGCAAACATACAATTTTTTGGTTTAAACCAGGGAGGGCATCTGTGCTCTTCCACAGAATTTCTGTGAGGAGGAAACCTGGTACAACAGAAAGAACAGAGGTTTGGAAACAGTCACAAGTGGGTTTGAATCTCAGCATTGCCATATACCAGCTGAGTAACTTTGCTAAGTTACCCTGAGCATCAGCTTCTTTACCTGTAAAAGTGGTGGCAATAATGTGTGCTTTCCAAGGTTGTTGAGTGGATTAGAGATAAAATTTAAAAACAAAAACACCCCAAACAACAAAAAAACCACCACCCAGCACGTAACAGTTGTTCACTAAACAGAGTGCTTGCTCCTATGTCTGTGGAGGTTGCTGTTATGAGAATACACAACTTCCTCGACTTATGATGGGGTTACATCTTGATAAACCCACTGTAAGTTGAAAATATTGTAAACTGAAAAAGCATTAATACACCTAACCTGCCAAACATCATAGCTTACCCACCTTAAATGTGCTTAAAACACTTCCATGAGCCTAGAGCTGGGCAAAATCATCTAACACAAAGCCTATTTTATAGTAAAGTGTTGAATATCTTACGTAATGCACTGCGCACTGTACTGAAAGTGAAAAACAGAATGATTGTGATTCTTTCGGTTGTTTACCTTTGTGATTGTAGATGGCTGTCCGGGAGCTGCCATGGCCTCTGCCCAGCATCATGAGAGAGGGCTGTACCACAAAGGATCAAAATGCAAAATTCAAAGTACATTTTCTACTGAATGCGTATCTCTTTTACACCACTGTAAAGTCACAAAAATCCTAAGTCGAACCATCGTAAGTCGGGGACTGTCTGCTAAGAAATTATTGGTTTTGTGATGACTTCGTTTCCTCATACTGGTAGCAGAGATTTTATTTTTGAGGTTCTGTGGAAGGGTCACTGTTGTCCTTATTTTTTTGTTGTTGCGGTACACGGGCCTCTCACTGTTGTGGCCTCTCCCGTTGCGGAGCACAGGCTCCGGACGCGCAGGCTCAGCGGCCACGGCTCACGGGCCCAGCCGCTCCGCGGCATGTGGGATCTTCCCGGACCGGGGCACGAACCCGTGTCCCCTGCATCGGCAGGTGGACCCTCAGCCACTGTGCCACCAGGGAAGCCCCTGTCCTTATTTTTAATCCTTCTACCTCTACCACCAATATGATGGGTATGGTAGAGTTACCTGACTCTGTTGGGTTGTCCAGCATCTAAACTCCCCTTCCTATGTTTGTAAAATCATTAACCCTAATATTACAAAAGCAGAAAATTCCAGATGACAGTTTTCTTAGCCCTCTCCCTGACCCCACTCCCCCGTGCAATACAGAGCAGGCACATAATCAGGTCCGCTGGCTCCGCCAAACACATTCACCCCAGATTTTGAATCCCAAGAAATCTCAAGAATCAAGTACTGTACAGAAACCTGGATCTGGGGTTGGGGCAGTGTGAGCAGCTTCCAGAGGCAGTAGTGGCAGTGTCTGGGGTGTGGTGTCAGTGATGTTGCTGGTGCAAGATGTCGGGTCTGAAGTCACAGCCCAGGAGGCAGTAGTGATGTTCCCTGGACCAGTTCAGTGGCGGTGTTCCTGGTTGATGAGGTTCTGAGCTAGGTTCTCAGCGTTCCCAGGGAAACTGTGAGCTACCTAATTGCCTTCAGAAACTCCTTTCCTGATGAAATTAGCCAGAGGTTTCTGTTGCTTACACCTGAGAATCCAGACGGCTACACCAAGTCACGTGACATTTTTATTACTTTCGGTCAAAGGCCACTGTAAGATTTACAGAGTAAACAATTACGGTGAGATCCTACCGGTAAGTCAGGGAGTCAGAGTGAGCAGCTGAACAAGATGTTACTGAGCATTTCTGAAATCATCTCTTAAAAGGCATGACAGGATGAATGCGTCACCACACTGTTTTAATAGTACGAAAAAATCAGTCATATTTTAGATACTATCAGGTTGAGAGATGCAGAACAATGGCCATCCCCTCAAAAGCATTCAGTTTCTTTCTCACATGCTCTAAGGTATCCTATTGCTCAAGAATTCCAATGACTCCCTCCATAGACTTGAATTTTTACCTCCCTGCTTGATTATTCCCAAAGAAACTGTGATGCCATTCCATTAAGCGAGCTCAGTCCGGAGCATCACCTTATACTAGTCTGACAGAAAAATCTTAAAAACACACATCCTTGGGGAAAAGACCAGGTAGGAAATGAAAAGTGTAATTTTTGAAACTAGAAAAGAGCACTCATATACTTTATCTTTAATTAGAATTGATATTTCCCCTACAATCATCTAACTTCATTCACCTTGGATAATGCATTTTTGAATCTCCCCTAGTCACTATAACTAAATTGTACAGAAGTTCATATTAAATTTTTCTTTTGGCTTATTATCAGCAACGTTTACCACTGTACTTTAAAAAAAACACATATTTTCAATAAGACCCATGTGATTTCATGTGTAGAAATCACATGAAAAACAAAACTTTGGCACATGAAATTCTTACTAACAATAAGCAGAAGGATTCTGGGAAAAAGCAACGCACAAAAAAACTTTTTTTAGTATGACGGCAAGGGTTTGGGAAAAAGGAACTTACAGGAAAAAGTTTGTCTTGCCACACACACTTTTTTTTTTTTTTTTTTGCTATTTTTGCAATGTCCAAGAAGAATTCCTTGTCCTAAACCTAACTTTATTTTCTATTTTATCCTCCAAAGGTCTCACAATCTTCTGATTATAAACTCCAAGTCAACCACTGAAAAGATGGTAATTCCATGGATGTAGGTTTCAGTTCAAAAAATAAACAGAATAGAAAAATGTATTTTCGATCTCAAACAATAAAAGCAAATTTAAAACAGCAAAAATGTTTTAAAAAAATCAGAATCAGAAGAATGTGAACTGTTTGTAAATTTTTCCAGTTCTGAATTCTGATTTTTTTTTAAATTATGTGATATATATGGGATTTTTGTCTCTCTCAGTATTTCAGAGAAGGATAGAGTGGTGAATCTAGTCATACAAAGGAAGCTTCTGTCTAAGCCAGGATTCATATAGTTAGATCATTTGCACAAGGCCGTATAGTTTTATGCCACATTCATAAAAGATCTGTTTTCTCTTCTACTCTCTAAAATCCTTATTAACCAGAGATCCTGAAAAATCAAGCAGGCTGCAACCTGCCTGGCCTTCCGAAATAAGAACCTCTTTTAGGATATTTCGAACTAAGAGTGACTCATGGGGGAAAGTGGGTTGCTGTTAAACTGAGATCTTCTACATTAGGGTTCCCCAGTTTTTTGCTCAAAGAGAAGCCCCGCGATGGGCACAGGTTAGAGGGAGAGACTGTTATATGGTGGAGGAGGTCATCACCATCACTCTAGGTTGACCAACACCCTCTGGCCCTGGGAACCCCTGCAAACCTCAGAGAGGCCCTATATGGAGGGGAGAGGCATTCCAGGGAAGACTCCAAAATATCCACCCCGAGATCCCAATTTCTAGGTAGGGGCCTGATGATAAACGAATATGGGAAGGACACGGTCAATATGGAATGGGACACACAGTCCTACAGAGGGTTTAGGGGAATCACACACGAGAGGATGCACACCTGTCAGAAAGGTCAACTGACAAGGACAGAGGATGCCTTAGGAAACCCAATAACCCTATAACTGTGGGTGAATTAAGCACCATAGGTCAGCGTAACCCCACAGTGACCAGGCATCAGAAACGCTCATCACAAAGCATGTGGACATGTTCTCTCATTGTGCACTGAGCTAGGAGGGGGACAAGACTCACCGAGTCACTTTCTCCTTCATTGTTTCTGTATTGGGCACAGACGGATGAAAATGGTCCCACTGGTTTGGTTTGTCCGTTTCTGCTTGTGTACACAGTTCATTAACGGACAAAGTTAACATCTGCTTTTAGGATCAGATGTTTCTGGTATCAGACATGGCAGGCTGGTTGTCATCTGCACTGAGGAGTGGTCCTCTGGCCAGGAGTTGCTATAGTTTCACGTCGACTTCCTGTTCCTCAGAGGAAACAGAAATGCCCCCCTCTTTCCCCAGGAGGCTGACCCTGGGCCACCTGACAGCTGGGCCCCTCTGCTACATCCCTCCTCAAGTACTGGTTAATTTTTAATGCCATTTAAAATGTTCTCGCACGTTTACTTAGCTCTGCAGTTTATAACAAACCTACCAAACAGGACAAACCAGTCTGGATTATATAACATGGAAATAAGCCTGGGCGCTGAGGAGGGAGCTGACAGCAGACGAGCTGCAACTATGGTTAAACCGGTTCAACCTCAGTACACCTGAAGGCAGCCTTTTCCCTGCTCCCTCCTAGAACTTTATAGTTAAAATAAGGAGAAGACAAAAACCGACCCACAAAAGTTATTAGATGTGTCCCCACAAATACCGACCAGTAAGTCACTAAAGTGAATTAAAAGGGACATGAAAGTCAATATTTACATTTCGTCTAGTTTTTTTTAATCTGGTGCACCTACTGAATAACTCATATTTGGACCTAACAATATTAACACATTCTAAAGGGGTTATCAGTAATTAATAGCTTCTTCCCACACACGTGCTGCCAGTTTAAACGTGGGGAAAGAGCCTGAACTCAAGTTTCACCAGTGCTGCTCTATGACGCCAATAAACTTTTATAGTTTCATGCATGTACTTGTTTAAGAAACAGATGCCATATCTGCCACCCTCAGAGATGTTCAAGATGTACTAAACAGTGAAACTGGTAACACTGCATACTGTACTAATTCTATAATTCAAGAAACCGACAGAGAAGCCCCAAGAATATAATACTTAACATTTTATAATAAAAAAGGAAAACACTGAACTGCTAGTTTTTCATATTAATCCTACACTGCTTCATGAATTACATGATTACAATCACTTAAACATTTTTTTAATTTTAAACAGGCTGTTAGGAATCAACTGGAAAAAAAAACCTATGAAGAATCAAAGTTGGGAATTCCCTGGTGGTCCAGTGGTTAGGACTCCGCACTCTCACTGCCGAGGGACCAGGTTCGATCCCTGGTTGGGGAATTAAGATTCCGCAAGTCACGTGGCATGGCCAAAAAAAAAATTATATTAAAAAGAAAAAGAATCAAAGTTGTATTTATATAATTAGTTAAGAGTAGATGGTGACTGGGACTTCCCTGGTGGTCCCATGGTTAAAAAACTCACAGTCTGAGGGCTTCCCTGGTGGCGCAGTGGTTGAGAGTCCACCTGCCAATGCAGAGGACGCGGGTTCGTGCCCCGGTCCGGGAAGATCCCACATGCCGCGGAGCGGCTGGGCCCGTGAGCCATGGCCGCTGAGCCTGTGTGTCCGGAGCCTGTGCTCCGCAACGGGAGAGGCCACAACAGTGAGAGGCCCGTGTACCGCCAAAAAAAAAAAAACAAAAAAAAACTCACAGTCTAACCTTACACCTAAAGTAACTAGAGAAAGAAGAACAAAAAGAACCCCAAAGTTAGCAAAAGGAAAGAAATCATAAAGATCAGAGCAGAAATAAATGAAATAGAAACGAAGAAAATAGCAAAGATCGATAAAACTAAAAGCTGATTCATTCAGAAGATAAACAAAATTGATAAACCTTTAGCCAGACTCATCAAGAAAAAACGAGAGAGGACTCAAATCAATAGAATTAGAAATGAAAAAGGAGAAATTACAACTGACACCGCAGAAACGCAAAGGATCATAAGAGACTACTACAAACAACTATATGACAATAATATGGACAACCTGGAAGAAATGGACAAATTCTTGGAAAGGTACAACTTTCTAAGACTGAACCAGGAAGAATCAGAAAATATAAACAGACCAATCACAAGTAATGAAATTGAAACTGTAATTAAAAACCTTCCAACAAACAGAAGTCCAGGACCAGATGGCTTCACAGGTGAATTCTATCTAACAGTGAGAGAAGAGCTAACACCTATCCTTCTCAAACGCTTCCAAAAAATTGCAGAGGGAGGAACATACCCAAACTTGTTCTATGAGGCCACCATCACCCCGATACCAAAACCAAAGATACCACAACAAAAGAAAATTACAGACCAATATCAGTGATGAACATAGATGCAAAAATCCTCAACAGAATACTAGCAAACAGAATCCAACAACACATTAAAAAGATCATGCACCATGATCAAGTGGGATTTAACCCAGGTCATTTAACCCAGAATTCTTTAATATATGCAAATCAATCAATGCAATACATCATATTAACAAATTAAAGAATAAAAACCATATAATCATCTCAATAGATGCAGAAAAAACTTTTGACAAAATTCAACACCCATTTATGATAAAAACTCTCCAGAAAGTGGGCACAGAGGGAACTTACCTCAACATAATAAAGGCCATATACAACAAACCCAAAGCCAACATCCTTCTCAATGGAGAAAACCTGAAAGCATTTCCTCTAAGATCAGGAACAAGGCAAGGATGCCCACACTCACCCTACTATTCAACATAGTTTTGGAAGTCCTAGGCACAGCAATCACAGAAGAAAAAAAATAAAAGGAATCCAAACTGGAAAAGAAGAAGTAAAACCGTCACCGTTTGCAGATGACATGATACTATACACAGAGAATCCTAAAGATGCTACCAGAAAACTACTAGAGCTAGTCAATGAATTTGGAAAAATTGCAGGATACAAAATTAATGCACAGAAATCTCTTGCATTCCTATACACTAACAACAAAAGATCAGAAAGAGAAATTAAGGAAATAATCCCATTTACCATCTCAAAAAAAAGAATAAAATACGTAGGAATGAATCTGCCTAAGGAGGCAAAAGACCTGTACTCTGAAAACTATAAAACATTGATGAAAGAAATAAAAAATGACACAAATGGAGAGATATACCACATTCAAGGACGGTTAGAATCAATACTGTTAAAATGACTATACTACCCAAAGCAATCTACAGATTCAATGAAATCCCTATCAAGTTACCAATGGCATTTTTCATAGAATTAGATCAAAAATTTTACAATTTGTATGAAAACACAAAAGACCCTGTGAATAGCTAAAGCAATCTTGAGAAAGAAAAAAGAGTTGGAGGAATCAGCCTCCCTGACTTCAGACTATACTACAAAGCTACAGTAATCAAGATAGTATGGTATTGGCACAAAAACAGAAATATAGACCAATGGTACAGGATAGAAAACCCAGAGATAAACCCCCGCACCCATGGTCAACTAATCTACGACAAAGGAGGCAAGAACACACAATGGAGAAAAGACAGTCTCTTCCATAAGTGGTGCTGGGAAAACTGGACAGCTACATGTAAAAGAATGAAATTAGAACACTCCCTAACACCATACACAGAAATAAACTCAAAATGCATTAAAGACCTAAACGTAAGACCCGACACTATAAAACTTTTAGAGAAAACCATAGGAAAAACTCTCTTTGACATAAATCACAGCAACATCTTTTTCGACCCACCTCCTAGAGTATTGAAAATAAAAACAAAAATAAACAAATGGGACCTAATGAAAATTAAAAGCTTTTGCACAGCAAAGGAAACCATAAACAATATGAAAAGACAACCCTCAGAATGGGAGAAAACATTTGCAAACGAAGCAATGGACAAAGGATTAATCTCCAAAATATACAAATAGCTCATGCAGCTCAATATCAAAAAAACAAACAACCCAATCCAAAGATGGGTGAAAGACCTAAATAGACATTTCTCCAAAAAAGACATACAGATGGCCAAGAGGCACATGAAAAGCTGCTCAGTATCACTAATTATCAGAGAAATGCAAATCAAGACTACAATGAGGTATCACCTCACACTGGTCAGAATGGCCATCATCAAAAAATCTACAAACAATAAATGCTGGAGAGGTTGTGGAGAAAAGGGAACCCTCTTGCACTGTTGGTGGGAATGTAAATTGATACAGCCACTATGGAGAACAGTATGGAGGTTCCTTAAAAAACTAAAAACAGAACTACCATATGACCCAGAAATCCCACTCCTGGGCATATATCCAGAGGAAACCATAACTCAAAAAGATACATGCACCCCAATGTTCATTGTAGCACTATTTACAATAGCCAGGACATGGAAGCAACCTAAGTGTCCACTGACAGATGAATGGGTAAAGAAGATGTGGTACATATATACAATGGAATATTACTCAGCCATAAAAAGGAACGAAATTGGGTCATTTGTAGAGATATGGATGGACCTAGAGTCTGTAATACAGAGTGATGTGAGCCAGAAAGAGAAAACCGAATATCATATATTAACTCATGTATGTGGAATCTAGAAAAATGGTACAGATGAACTTAGTCCCAGGGCAGGAATAGAGACGTAGACATAAAGAACAGATATGTGGACATGGGGTGGGGGGGAAGGGGAGGGTGGGATGAATTAGAAAGTTAGGTTTGACATAAATACACTACCGTGTGTAAAACAGATAGCTAGTGGGAACCTGCAGTATAGCACAGGGAGCTCAGCTCAGGGCTCTGTGATGACCTAGAGGGGTGGAATGACGTGGGGAGGCGTTTGGGAGGGAGGTCCAAGAGGGCGGGAATACATGTATATATATAGCTGATTCACTTTGTTGTACAGCAGAAACTAACACAACATTGTAAAGCAATTATACTCCAATTAAAAAAAAAAAAAAAGACTCCACGTTCCCCATGCAGGGGGCCCAGGTTCGATCCCAGGTCAGGGAACTAGATCCCGCATGCTGCAACTAAAGATCCCTCGTGCCGCAACTAAGACCCGGCACAGCCAAATAAATAAATAAATATTTAAAAAAACAAAAAAGAGTAGATGGTGATTTTGTAAATGTAAGAATCATATAGAACACTGAAAAAATTACAAAGAAATCAGTGAAGTTCAACAAAAGCTGGCTGCAATTTAATAACTTTGGTCTAGACACTTAAAAGCATATATATTTATACACACACACAACTGGCATATAAAATGTAAATATATATGCTCATTATAATATTTGTTAAAAATTTAGGCTCGGTGTAATGTACCAGCCCTTTCTTTTTTAGGTTCTCATTTTTTTTAAGTTTTAATAGCTATGATCAAATTTGTTCTTTCCTGTTTTTGATACTCCATATTTGTGATTTTAAAATATCAGTCTTATGGCCCACTTTTGAAGAGATAAGGAAAAAAAGCTCCAATCAGGGGAAAAATAAACCCTTTTCTGACAATCTTATTAAATGTACATTTAACATATTATTTCAAAATCTTTCGCAGGAGGGGTGAATGTTACTGTCATCAGGGGGTATCTTTCCATTTCTGAGAGTAAGCGTGAAGACAGGAGAGCAAACAGGCCTAAACTATGCAAAATGCCACACTGTGGCAGGCACCCACAGCTTCAACAGATACTAGATTCACCTCATTCCTTTGTCATCCCTACCTACCCTTTGCTGCAATAGGAAACAGGAAAAAAAAAAAAAATCAAAGTGCATGGTTTTTGAAAAAGCTCCCTGGTGATTTTTTTTTTTTGCAGTATGCGGGCCCCTCACTGCTGTGGCCTCTCCCGCCGTGGAGCACAGGCTCCGGACGCGCACGCCCAGCGGCCACGGCTCACGGGCCCAGCCGCTCCGCGGCATGTGGGATCTTCCCAGACCGGGGCACGAACCCGCGCCCCCACCATCGGCAGGCGGACTCCCAACCACTGCGCCACCAGGGAAGCCCCCTGGTGATTTTTATACTCTCCTGAGTATACTCCTGAGCATCTGTGTACTGACCCCCAAAATGAGAACTCAAGATAGGCATTGCCTCATCTCACCCTTAAATGCACTATATCCAAATGCCTGAGAACCCCTGGTTTCAACTGACTACTCCCCTGGCTAGTTTTAGAGCCCAAAGTTGTGGCTGCAGCCAGACAGGTGTCAACGCATCAACTGTGATACAGGCCCCCAAAAGAGAACCTTGTAAAGACCATTTCTCTACGCCTCAGAGCTGAGCCAGGCTGCCATCTTTATGATCTGAGCAACCACTGGCTAGGAGGTGACTCCACAGGTGCCCTAGTTTATCCTGTCTGTCCTGTTCCCATATTTGT